AAGCACCACCCAAGAAAAAAACAGATGGTGGAATGGAAGAACAGAAAAAGAGGGGAGAATTGTTTGATGGAGAAAATAGAGAAAGCATAGAATATGTGAAGCAAGTTCAAAGAGATTACCAGGAAACTAAAAACTCTATCGAAAACTGACATAACAGCTTGAAAGAAACTAAGGACAGATTATCTGAACTGGAGGGCAGATTTTTAATATGGGAGCATGAAATGAAAAACTTCTTAAAAATAACAAAGAAACAAACAGCAATAATACAAAGACTAGAAGATGATAAGAGGATCTATAACTTAAGAATTAAGAACATAAAAGAAGAAGTAGGGACACAAACAAATGAACTACAAAAGCTACTCACAGAAATAATCCAGGAGAATTTTCCTAATTTAGCAAAAGGTAAAGATACTCAGTTGTATGAAGCATACAGGACCCCAGCCACCTACAACCCAAACAGAGAAACACCCAGGCATATAATAATTAAAATTCCAGAAATCCAGTACAAGAACAGAATATTAAAAGCTGTTAGAAACAAGAAACAGATCACTTACAAGGGAACACCCATCAGAATTACAGCAGACTTCTCGGCACAAACCATCAAATCATGAAGAGTGTGGGGGGGAAATAATTCAAGCTTTGAAAGATAATAATCTCAAGCCAAGATTGATATATCCTGCACAACTATCCCTGGAAATTGATGGAAAAACAAGGTGCTTCCAGGATAAAGAGGAAGTAGGGTAATATGCAACCACCAATTCAACTCTACAGAGAATACTGCAGGATATTCTAAAAAAGAAAAATACGAAGAATCCAGAAATAGTGGCAGAGAAGCCACAATGAATGGAGCAGAAAACAAAATGAAGAAGACAAACTGACAACTAATGACAGAAAAAGAGCTCAACAGAAATGAGGCAGAGAAGATTGGATGATAGGAACAGCTATTTTGGAGAAAATGACGTCTTAATAGGTAATACTGATTTAGTATCATCTTGTTTTGAAGTCTCATCAAGCTTTTGTTCTTCTGTCTCCATTGGTCTAAACAAGTTGTATCTTATTGGATTTTATTATATATGATAGTATAAGCAAAAATTTTTATATACAAGGAGATTATACAGAAACCATTGTTCATTTTCTGTTAGTCGATTCTAAATACCCTGTAATACTGTCATTCTCTTAAATGGGTTTACATTGTTTTGATATATTTGATGCTACAGTATACGAAGTTATACTCAAAGATTTCAAGGAAAGAGACAATATGGTAGCTACTTTTATGTCGGGATTATCTTGTGGTGAAACACTATTTTGCTTAAATGGTTATGTTTTGATCTGCGCTGTTTTGCTGTTATGCCCTCTTTTATCTCAATCTCCATTTTATTATTTACTTTTTAATTTTTATCCTTTTAATTAAAGGAAAAATAAATAAAAAAATAGCAGGATATATTATAGTAATCCACTTTGACTTTCCATTATCTTGATTTAAAGCCCTGTATTGCTCTCACCATCTTGTTTTGACTGATGTTCCTCTATTCTGTTTTGCTTGATAGTACCAGGTTCGAAAGTTTAGGCAGCAGCTGTGAAGATAGTGGGATTCATTATGACGCCCATTCTGGTTGACTATTATCTGCTTTTGAAGACCTATAATGTCTCCAATGTTTTGGTTTTGTTGGTTTTGTTCTTTACTGTTTTGTTCAATTTTATTATGACTGATGATGTAGGCAATTCTATTAGAGATAGCGGAAGGCATTATGGTAACCATTGTTGATCATCTTGTATTATGCTTTTACATTATCTATTATGCCCACCCTTTTGATCTGACTGACTCTGTTCTGTTATATCACATTTGGTTCTACTCTCTTCCAAAAAAGTAATAAGAACTGTGGGAGCAACAAAACCCAAAATGTGTAATTGTCATTGTACAAAAGAGAGGAAAAGAAAGTGCTCTAAACGATATAACTGCATGTATATTTAAGTGTATAAGATAGATAATGATATTACTGAGTTTTGTTGGATCACTGAACAGAACTGTTTGCAGTCTCACTGTTGGAATGTCCACTTTGTAAGCTTTAATTTTGTAACTTGAACAATTATTTCTAAGATGACAATATGTAATCCATTAACTAGTGATTTCCTACTGTTTATTTTTTTCTGTAAATCTGTATAACTTGTACCCTTTCTCTGCTTTTTTTCTTTTTCTCCTTAAATAAAATTTTTTTAAAAAAAGAAAGTATAATTATCAAAATATAACAAATGGCTCATAATTTTACTTAAAATCATTCAGCTTAAAATTAACCAAAATACCTTGAGAAATATAATTGTTGTAGACAGCCAAGTGTAAATGTGTAAAAGCTGAATGGAATTATAAGCTACTTGTAAGTTAATGCTACTTTTATGAAATTTTGACTTTGTTTATTTGCATTCAACTTAGAATTATATTTAATGTTTTCTAAAAGCTGTTCTCAGTATTTAGTCAAGAATGACTTTGAATATTTTGGTTTGTATCAAAGTTTGTGAACTTTTCCTTAGGCAAATAACAGGCAATATTCTAATTTTGGTGAACTGTTAAATTATTTTTATGTTTCTAGACAGCTATTTGCTGTCTCCAAATTTGTTTTTAAGATTTTTTAAGATGAGCACTGAAGTTTACAAACTGACTCAGTTCTATAATTCAAAATTGGTTTACATTTCTGGAGGCAAATGTTGCCTTTTCCTCATCTGTAGCAAGTATCTTCTGAAAGCTAATACAATGTAGCATGAAATGGCCTTTTAAACATGTGGGATTCAGGTTTTATGAATTGAATGTCTTTTGCTCTACTGAGAATTTTTTTAAGAGCAAAAGTTGATTGAAATAGGCATCTAAGGTTTGCTTTGGATTAGGCATAACTATGCACACATTTTTCAAAAGGGAGCAGAGCCAGATGACAAAAACAGTTCCCCTGAGGTTGGAGTGACTCAGAACATCTCCATATGGATGCCCCAAGGCAATTTATACTCAACATGTCCTCAAATGAACTCACAATTTCCTTTCAAAGCTACAATCTTAGACTCCCATTCAGCTCTTCTTGTCTCTCATACGATTGCACTGATTTCTGTATTCAGCCTTTGCCTCTTGACTTACCTTTGCCTGGCTTTTCCTTCTCACATCCAGTGCCCTCCCCAGCACCCACAGGCACGCAGCGCACACCTCTTGCTTCTCCTACCATCATCAAATTAAGTTCTGTAAAATGCAGGTCAGACAGTTTGTCATTCTCATCTCAAAAAATGTCTGGTGATTCTGGCATTGCTCTTTTGTTTGTCTCTGCAAATTCACTCCATATCTTTCTCCCCTGTCCTATGTCCCAATGTCCAAGGCTGTAGGGATGACACCTATGAATCCTCTTGTTCTTTGGATCCAGTTCCATTTCTACATTGTGGAGCCCTGCAGCTGGAGAGTGAGCTCAGGGTATATATTTCGCAGACCTCAGTCATCCACAGTTCTCTGCTAAAGGCACAGCTCTTGTCTAGCAGATTTTAATGAGAATGGTTTATTCTTCACTGAGTTTCCCAAGTGCGTCATTAAGGTTAGTTAAAAATCCAAGTGAGAGAGCTCTAATCAGAAGTATCCTGTGGTTCATGAGGAATACTTTCTCCTTTAGGATCATTTGCAAGATGAGGGAGGGAACCAACAGTCACAGAGTTTCTGGACTTGCCCAAGTCAGGTAAAAAAACTTTTTATGATAGTCTTTAAGAAGGAAAATTGTTCACAGTATAAAAATGAAGTAAGTGAATCATTTACACATTGGATGACTTTGTTTGCAGTGCCCATCCTTGTATCTCCTGCTCCACTTGGGTAACTCGGGCAATATGCAGACCAGCTGACAGATGCTGGCATCAACTGTGTGATGACTGTGGCATTGGCAGGAGAGGTGCAGATGGCAAACAAAGGACTCCTTCTAGGGATCTGAGTGTGTGTTGTGGGATGAATGAGGATTTCTGCCTCGAACCTCTGTGGAACTGTTTCTGTAAGCCAGGCACTGCGCCTGGTCATTCTTAACCTTCCTTTTGCCTGTTCCCTTCCTTCTACAGGGGGCAGAACTGAAGTTATTCCCTTTGAGGAATGGTTATGCCAGTGCTGGAGAAAGTGCTGGCTTTACTTTCTATTTCTCATCAAAGGGTTTGAATGAAGAGAAATCTTAGAGTTTTTATGTTGTATTATTGTTGAGCTGAGCCTGGAACTAGATAGAGAGCAGAAGAACCACCAGGAGCTTGAATGAAGAGTTCTACTGGTAAACTTCTGCAAGTGAAGATCTGGACACACACACAAATCCAAATTTAATAATTACAGAGAATTCTGGACCTTAGACAGAACATGTACATTGTGCAAAAGTAGTAATTTCCAAGCTTCATTTGTTCAAAGTAGATCAACATAGAAGCATTCTGGGCGAATGGTTCCTTAAGGCATGTTGGGGAAAAGCTGGGAATCTTTGGGTCTAGTCTGAAGCCACCATGATACATAAGCCCAAGAGCACATAGGGCAGCTCTGCCTAACAGCTGGAAATTCCTGGGCTGGATAATTATAGCAAGGTCTTACTCAAACTACAGGGCTAATCCGAAAGACATTTGTGGCCACCAGTTCTGTATTCTGTTTTTGCAGACAGCACTCCTCGTCCTCCTTGTCTTATTATCAAGGCCCCTTTACTTGCCTCCCCACTGCTGATCTCTTTTGATGCAAGCTGAGTGGAGGAAACAGACTCATTGTTTCCTTTAGTATTCTTTTTTTTTTTCTTTTGTACCAGGGATCGAACTCTTGACCTTGCACTTGCCAGACAAGTGTTTATGCTACAGAGCTAAATCCCTGGCCCCTTCCCTATAGCATTTTTGTAATACCATTATCTTGCTCAAGAATCCGCTGATGTATCCTGTTACTATCACTGTTTTCAAGCTTCCCCTTCCATGGCCTGTCCTCATGCAATCTCTGTTGCAATAACCTTTCTCAAATTCTGACTTCACCCAGCCTGTTCCTTGTCAGGACAACAGTCTGCAGATTCTCTCCTCACTGCCTGCTGACTCGGTTGCTTGTTCTGCATTGCTTCCTTCAGAAAGTCTAGTGACACAGGCGCCCCTCTCAGGTATGCCCACAGCATTCTATGATTTCTCTACTGAAAGCTACACAGTGATAGTATTTTTAAGGGTACTTTATTATCTATTTTCTAACCTAACCTAAACCCCTAACCCAAACTACAAAAAAAGAAGATATGTTCACACTGCACTTACTCTTTCGTCTCCAAATCCTAGAACTGTACTATTTGTTGAGTGAATGAAGTTAACATAAACATTTGGTGAGTAAGTGAGTGAATGAATGTATGGCTTTCACGTGAGTGATTAATAGGCAGTGCCCTTTAATGACATGCGGTCTTTTGTGACACCCTTGAGGTGATCTTTCAGTTGTGATCCCTGTGGTTTTGGGATACAAGTGAATATTCTTTACCCATCCCTAGGTGGGACAATATGACAGGAATCAATTGCCTTTTGGAAATGAGACACTCTTAGGCTAGTGGGGAGACTGTCAGAAATCATTGGAGGAGGAAGAAGGAATTTAGGAAACAATTTCTCTGGCAGCTATTGGTGTTAATGGAACAAACCCTAAGGAAGATAAAAAATGACTTCTGATTATATTATTCTTATTGTCAAAATGATGTATCCAGGTCTTGGCATCCATATGCTATATTTTGTTATTAGTACCTGCCTGTTTTTCTACTGAGCATATCAAGGTCCAGAGAAGCATAAGACTCTCCATGACTCAAAAGTAATGTCAGAATCAAGTCTTGAACCTGATTCTCGGTGCAATATTTTCTGCTACCCACTCTTTCCTCTCTGCTGCTCTCTGAAAGCCCTTCTTTCCTATTTGCTAACTCAGTCATGAACTCAATGCTATTGCCACAGTGCTCGCTACCATCACCTTTGATGCCGTGAGAGCAAGAGGCCAGGGCTAGAGCACTTCCTCCTGACCGATGTACCGCAGAACAAAGTCTTTCTTGTGTGTGGAGCAGAGTATGTGTGTATGTACAGAGGCGGGGGTTGGTGAAAGCAAAGACCAGTACAAGAAAAATCAGGGGAAGTGTGCAAAAATCTATCTGTACACATGTTGTTTTTCTCCTGGGGGTTCAGTGAGAACTTCACTTCTTCCTTCTGAGACCATTAAGGGAAAAGAGTCCCTGAATGGATGCATGTGTGCAAGTATATGTAAAAGCACACAAATGCATCCAAACTTCATGACAGCCACAGTGGAACACATGCAAGGCCCTTTCCTACTTGAAACTACGATCACCATCTCATCCCTGTGATTTCATTTGTGGGGTGGAGTGAGGCTGAGGCATTTAGATATCAGTTTACCTGAATCTGCAGTCAAGAGTTAAATTCCTGCAGAGGGCTCCTGAGGATATCCATTTCCCAAGTGCTTTATTGTAAGACCCTAATTCACTGATGAATGAATGTGACTTTCTTTTTAATTGTGTGATAAGTGCAGATTCATCTTTAAGCTATTCCTTGCTTTGAAGACTTGGTAGGCTGTGATTGAACTGGGCCCTTGACACCCAGATAAGCTCTGCTCTTGTCCATGGATTTTGGTACTGATGATGCCTCAGGAATCCTGGTCCTTTAACTAGTAAAAGTCCAGGGATCAGGAAGAGAAATGAATAACTAGATAAAAAAAAATTGCCTTAAACATATACTCAACACACGTAAAGAATTCTTATCTCTTATCTTTTCTCTTGCCTTCATGCATTACACAACCACTTTTCTTTAAGGAACTTATAACCTAGGGAAGTGATGGTGAATCTTTCAGAGCAATCAATGATACAAACAGCCTGCTGTGGTATGTGTGCCATAGATTCACCACTGCTGACTTGGGGATTCATATAGTTGAGTATTAATGTAAAATGTACACTTTAGGTGATAATATCGAGACTATCAAAGGGAAAAGGTGGAGGAATAGCATTGACTCAGGCATTTAAAATGGTATTGGGAGATCAGTCAGGTGTTGGGTACCACTACAGCTGCAGTTCTATTTGAACTGCACTGCAAAAACATACCCACTCTCAGATTCGAGCTGACCTTTGGACTGTGCCAAACCTCAGCTTCCTGAAACAATGTGTGTTAACCTCTGTAGTCCTTCTATGCAACAGACCCCTCCTCCCAAATTACTCACAGCCTCAGACTGCACCCGGTTTCTTAAAGAACAGCTCAACTTTGCAGGTGTTCATCTTAGTACTTGATGGCAAGTTTACAATTTCCACTTTCTCCTGCAACCTGCCCGGTCATTTATTTCATACGGTAAGTAAAACTGTCATTTTGTAAAACTTTTGAACACTAATTCAAGATTGTTTGAAACTGAGTATTCCTGGATTGAAATCCTAATTAGCTCCCAACTAAAATGATTTTATTTTTTCGTGAACTTATTCTTGGTCAACACCATCAGAAGAAAATCTGCTTCGATCAGGCCCAAACAAGGAAGAAAATTATTAGTACACATGACTGACACCTGCCAAGCAGGCTTTGCCTCAGTCAAGCTCACTCTCAGCGGCTCAGCCTTCAGGGCTCCAATTGCTTTCTAGAGTGATGGCTGCATTCTAAGGCTGGCTCCCCTGTAGTTTCAGAATGGCTATAATCTCTTCTCAGAGTTACATATTACATGTTTTTGTGTTCAGATACAACGAGGGGGTTGGGAAAGATAACTTTGCCCCAGTATTCTTAGAAATCTTGGGACTCAGTCTGGCTCAGGTGTGGCACTGGTGGCTAAATTGAACCAGTCAATCCCATGACAGAAACATCATCCCATGTTCTGTTCTGTTGCAGGTGTGCAAGTCAATTGTATGGGGTAGGGGCCTGGGGGAAAGGAGAAGGAAAGACAGGAAGACCTGTCCATCTCAAGGACAAGAAATGGGCTTTAACAGGGCTGCTAACAGGACACTTCAAATCACAAAAGAGGGGTCCCCCTAGGCCTGAGAAGGATCAGGAGTTTATACAAGAATTATCAATAGAAATGAAAGTAATTTTAAGTGATCAATCCCTGGAATATACTACTAGTTACTGGAACTGGAAGCTGCCATAGGTTTATAAAATGATCTGCGAAATCAGAGTCAAAGACAGGAAGGTGAGGAGGAGACTAAATGTCAGAACTCAAAAGCTGTGCCTTTCAAGTCCGTAACTGTCTTTTAAATTCCTGATTAGAAAGTGTGAATGTGTCTTAAAAGAGCTGTTCTTAGTAGGGTTCTGGTATCAAGGCTTCTCTATTACTGAACTGTTTCTTCAAGGCAAGCAAGACTTGATTCCCTCCAATTTGGATTTACTTCTTATATTTAAAATTTGAATAGTAGCACTTCCCTTGCAGAGTATGCAAATCAGAAATAATAACTCAAAGTGCCCAGTGTGAAACCTGCATTGATTGTTACTATTGTTATTTACATGGAGCTGCCTTACTGAGGTAGTGTAAGTCCTGAGGACAGGAATGTACTTTCTGGAACTGTCTGGTTTCTGATAAGATCTAAGCAGCAGGTATAAACATTTGAGAGGATATACTAAATTAAGAACATGCTTATATGGCTGGTGTCTCTGCTGTAATTCAAGCCATGTTCTGCCCTGGATTCTCTTGCCTGGGTATTGTTGGGAGCTAATCCACCTTCTTGGGGAAGACTTAATTCTAGGGAAATAAAATCTGACATTCAAGCTTAGTTCAAGGTAACATGTCAGAGAGGAAAATGATAAACTGCATACATTTCCAGTCTGAGCTGTCACAACCCATGAGGTTCTTGAGGTTCTTGGGGTGAAGACCACAAGAGGATGTGAGAATGAAGAAGAGACAAAAGCTGGGGTCAGGCGGAGTCTTTACCTCCCGATGGGAGAAAAGGAACTGCTCAACCACTGTAGCATGTTTATTTATACACTCAAGAGAATGATGTCAGTTTCAACTCTGCTGCCCAGTAACTTGTTTGCCTGGCTGGACTGGGTCCCTTTCCTTCTTGGAGCTGGAACAGCTTGTTTACCTGGCTTGTCTTGAGCTCTGTGTGTTTTCAGGACTGGTCTTGCTTAAGCCCCGCATGTGATCAATCTCCAACTTTAATGGCTTTCTACACTGACCCCCAGCAGCCATGTTTATCACTGATGATAGTGCCAGCCAGCAGATGCTGCATGGCCTACAGGAGAGTACTGGAGGCTGTCATGGTGTTTGCTGACTAATGTTGGGGTTAGGAGGGGTTGGAGCCCAGAATGAGTAGGTGCACTAGAGTCAACCTTAGCCAAGTTTGGGCAGAAGAAGTGGATGGTGGGCACAAGAGAGAGAGAGGTCCATGCCAAATCTGCAGCAACAGAGCTCATATTTTGTGGCCATGAAGGACAGCCATCAGTCCCAGTAGAAATTAACCTATTGTGGCCCTAATAGAGTAGAGAGAAGCAGAAGGCAAGTGTCACATGGGAGCTGAAAGGACCATACATGTGAGCACATATGTGCTATCCTCTGGAGATGCCCAGAAACCCGGAAGATTCCCCAGTGTTGATGACAGGCAGCCCAGACAAACACTGCTGGTTGCTTCAGTTTTGCCTCAGAGTGGTGTGCCCAAGGGAACTCACATTGCACACACTCACCACTTCCCCTTGGCCATTGCACAACTGCATTAGAGGCAGGTTGAGCTGCCAGCGGCAGCCTGTATGCGACACTGTGTCTTCAAGAAGACATCATTTCTTTTTCTTTTTTTGGGGGGGGCAGGGTTTTCCCAGGCTGGCCTAGATCTCATGGATTATAGCTGTGTATCACCATGTCTGGTTATGATCTATTGATTACTGAAATCAATAATCCTAACTAATTTCTCTTAAGATGCTAGGAATACTTCTCTCATATTATACTAGACCACTTCCTTCCTTCCTCCTTCCTTCTTTTTGTTCCTTTCTCTTATTTAAATGAGAACTAAGTACTTTTTTAAACATCACCTTTGTCTTGGCCAGTTAGGAGTAGAGCTCAGTTGCAGAAACTCTTCAGTGTAGATACACTGTTATGGTAAAACCACTTCCTGGTTCTCTTTTCTTCAATATGGCTCTATTTGGGATATCCAGTGTTACAGTTTAGTTCAAGCATCAC